GTATATCACAATTCCAAGAATTGGGGGGGGGGAGGAGGCAGCTGTAAATGTCTTCAATCTGCTTTTCTGGTAATAAATCGCCGATTCCTCTGCTGAAAATAACATGGAACACACATCATCAAAATTCAAATTCAATGGACAGAGTTCACCTTTTCTAAGACTAGTTATAAATATTATCACATGTTCGAGTTCTGGATTATTATAATGTCACAGTATAAATTATTAGTCCAAAGTCTCATACAACAAAACAACCAAGATCAGATTTATTTCCATTTGTAGTTTTGGTGCTTTCATATCCACACTAATAAGATAACAACCTGTTGTGTAGCAATAACAAGCCTGACTATTAGACAGAGTGAATGGCTAAAGGATTTCAGCCTAAGTCTGATTCACTTACCTTTTCGTAGATAGTTCTCCCGTTTTGGCTAGTTAAAGATGGTCTTAAGACAATGTAAGTCATTTTATGTCGTGTTAAAGGACATATACATAAAAAATGTGTGTAAAGAGCTTCTGGCAATTATGGCCTCATTAACAACTGTCTTATGCCCTTCAAACTTTTCTACATGGTACACTATAGAAAATATCCAGAATATTCTAATGTGAAAGATCATATTTGTATTCCACAACACTGCTCTAAACAACCAGTATTGGTCATACCAAACAGAAGCAAAATTAAATAGGTTTAACCCAATAGTAGCATCACAATTACAATGGTCTAGCAATGCATGAATAAAAGGAATGGATAAAACAAGGATACCCATGGCATTAGAACTATAATTTAAAGGAAAAAAGCCTATGGGACAACCCAGAAAAATACAGCTCAGGCAGGTATTGGAAGACACCACGAAGAGAGGAAAAAGTGGCATGAAACTGAAAACAGAGGATTGCGGAAACACAGAAGAATGGGAGACTTTATACGTGTCGGTCCATATAAAATGGAAAAAATGGTAGGAGAAGAAAAGTAGCACTTCTAACTTGTGTTTAGCAAGCATCCACTTCACATCATTCCCCAATTTATTTTCTTTGACACAAATTCGAAAATAACAGCTCAAAACACACCTTAATCTTCTTTCATCCCACTGCCTCCTGATTCACCATCATAACAACATACCTCAACTCAAAACTGATGATAAAATTTTGGAATAAGGAACATTATGCTCATTATTCTGGTATATCTGGTGTTATACAAGCTCAAAATATAAATTAAAGACCTTTTTTATACTCATTTCCCTTTACTAAATACCCAATGCAAAAAAAAAGCCCATTTGACAATTAAAGAGTACTAATGGCATATGGTACTGAAGTGAACGGAGAAGTTCATGGAGGTAGGCCTAGGCCCACTGGGGCTGTAGTGCCAGGGGGGAAAAAAAGGCATATGGTATGAAACTGAGAAACTGACCACATACCTGAAATATGCTTTACCGGAAAGTTGACTCTGACACTATCTGGTCCCTAACATCCATTGCAGCTTTCACTGCACCCAGTTCCTGTCTGTAGAATTCATCACTCCGCACAGGGATGTCTGTATCAAAATAAAGATGTTCTTTAATTAGAGAGTATATGAAAATCTCAAATTAAAAAAAAAAGTGTAAGTATCATGTAATAATGAACAAGAATAAGTTTTATGCTAGCACTCACAATATAATATAAATATTGTAGTATGTAGAGCCGTTTGTAGGCAACGATCGGAGACAGATTCCCAAAGCAACAGTCAATGCAGAAAAGTGAAGGTACTGCTGGAAATGGCATTTTCTATGGTGGTCTGTGCTGAGGGGTTATAAGGAGTGCAACTGGAGCAAGAATAGGCAGTTGGATAGGAGCCTCCATTCAGATAGGACTTCAGCCCAGAAGCAGAGGAATAGCCATTGTTGGAGCCATTACCAGGCAACTACTAGTAAAGACACTATGGGCTGGAAAACAATTAGTGTGTGTGTAACAGTAAACTGTAAAGTGTGGAGAACAGCGATGGCACTATAATTAAGTGTAATTATGAATTGTGTGCTAAGTGGTCAATAAATCCAGTACCAATCCAAAACTCTGCTGAGAGTCACTCATACACATGACAATAATTGTGTCAACTCAAAATAATGAAAGGGAAAAATAAATGGCAAAATAAATTACCATTAATTTATTACAGACTGGGTTATGTTTTTTTTTCCTTCTCCACAGCAACTCTGGGGCCCACTCAGCCTCCTATCCAATTCATAACGGGGTTCAATTTCCACGGGGGAAAACAGCTGGTGTGTGAGGCTATACCTCCACTCCCCAATCTTTATGGCATAGTGCTTGACTAATTAAGAATAGGAACCACTTGTTCTTGCCCATTTTTAAACACCTGTGGCTTTTGTTGGTTATTTTGTGGTGCTGTCAGTAGCTACATTACATAGTGTCAAATGGCAGGATGACACATGTTTGTGTGTAGATTTCTACACCCTGTTGTAAAAAAATTGATCTTCAATTTTGATACTTTTCAATTGAAAAGGTTTGTTACTGTCCCTATTCAGATGAAGCCAGTACTTGTTACCAGCTGTTCTCATTTTCAGGTTTACTCACAAAATGACATTTCAGCTCCTGAAGGCACAATCCTCATTTGCTGTTTTGGCTTCCCATTCCCCTTTTGCTGTCCGAGCTTGTCTGGTTGTTCATCCCACCTTGCATGAACCACATTCAGTGGTGAGTCATGGTGCTTCAGGCGGACAAATTCTTCTTGCTCTGTGTTGAGTGTCCGCCAGTCTGCCTGACTCTCTGCCTCCTCATGCAACCGAGCTGTTCCTTCTTGTTGGTGTAATTCAGCCATCTGCTCCAGCAGGTGCTCCACTTCTTGCTCCAGTTTCTTAATCCCTCTTTCAAGCTGCAATCCCTATTCCCATAAATGAATGTTAGTATTATGATTCTCTTAAGGTTAATGATGATGGTTGTGTCATTACATCATGATTATTTAGCTACTGTTTATTGACTGAGATATATGCGATACAGAAGACATTTCAGTAGTTGACTCTACTCACCTCTTCTGCTGAGTGGCTGTTGTTACACTAACAGTCAAGTTCTACTGTTTATATTTTAAAGATTTGTGACAACATCTGGGATAAGATCCAGTACCACCCAAATACAAAACTTCCATGCTAGACCACTGGGGAAGCTCCCATGGTTAGCATACAACAACAACAACAACAACAACAACAACAACAGCAGCAGCAGCAGCAGCAGCAGCAAAAATATGTGTTAGTATAATAGTAACCAGATCACCAGAAAAGGTGAGAAGTTCCAGAATGTCCTCTACAGAGCCTGCCCTTTATGAAAATTGGCATTATGAAATTTCACTCATATGAACTTCTGTAATGAAACATGTGCCACCAGCTTGGCTTGCTATCTGAATGAAAACTTTCTAATCCAAAATCCTTTCTGAATAAAAGAAATGTGCAAATTAAAATGGAAACAAACACATCACAATTTTCAGTTTGCCATATGTTCTGCTTTGGTGTGCATCTTGTTACAGATTTTGCTATTGTTTAAACAAATTTGTGGTTTATACCCTATTAATGATGATTAATACAGGGAGAAGTTCTGCAAAGTGATGGCAATAATAAAAATGCTCTAGAAGTCTATATGACATTGGAAATAAAGGGCAAAATAATAAAACTTAATGATGATGGTATGTTCTCCATCAACTGTAGTAAAGCAAGCATCTACTTGGCTGTCCACAGTGATATGAAAACATGACAATTGTACTGCTGAATTGGAAAACATTTTCACTGTCTGGATATATGACCAACCCAGCACCAAGTGCCCATAAGACTGAGGGAGATCCAGGTCAAGGCTATTAAGTTTGCAATGCTTACATACTTCTCTACAGGTACAATAATTGGTGATTTCTATTTCTTCTGGGCATTTCTTGGCCATTCAGAAACATAGCTCACAATTACAGAATTGCACTTATGGGAAACAATGATTCATGCTAAATAATCGTTTTGGAATTTTCTTCAGGAACATAGTAACTCTTCGTAAGGGTGGCAACTGCTTGTATATCAATAATACCTCAGACAAGTGACTAAGTCAAATGTAATCACGGTGTAATGTTACTATTATGCACTAAATCATCCACAAATAATAATTCATCCATTCATAAAATAGCCTGAAATCTGATGGTTTCAGAACCATCTGAACCTGAAGATGAATACTGCAGTGGAATCTCAATAAATGATATCCTTTCATTCACCAACGTGACATAAGCCTAAGCATCTATAACATCCAAACTTCACCTTGATATTGTTTTGTCCAGGCTGGAAATCATGCTGTGTCTCTGCCATTTCCTTGGCTAATTTCATGTCAACCTTCTGTAACAATTCATCCATCACAGCTAAACGAGTTGTAATGTCCACCTGTTTTGCATGATGTTCTGAAGCAGCTTCAGTCCGTAACTGAGAAAGTGAAAATTATGGTTTTCTGTTATAATGTGTGCAGTACATAAGTGCAATTCAAGTGTTTTACTCAAAACCCAAGATGTGATGACCAATGGCAGGCTATTGTGAACACAGTAATGAAGGTAATGAAGCTAGAGAAGGTAGAGAAATTCATGATTGGTTAACTGACAATTTGTTTCTCAGAAGAATGCTACATCATTGAGTTAATTATCAAATACATGATATGAAAAAGGAATTACAACCAAATCTCTTTAGGCTTCACTGGGAACCAAGAATTCTTACAGCTATACACAGGAAACAGAAACATGTTGTGAAATATGTTGGATTTGAGGTTCATACAAAAGTGGCTATTAAGAGTTCTGTCCTCTGGGATATAGTGCTATGCTCTGCTTGCTGCCTGCTTCATGTTAGTTTTCTGCTTTTCTTATTCTTTGATCCTGAACAAGGTGGTGATATGTTTCTCTCGAATATCAGTTTACTTCCACCAGACTAAACAGCATTACACCCCAAGGACAGAACTTGTCATGTAGTGAAACAGATTCTGAAGAAGAAAAGCAGACCGAAATAACAGGATTCTGTAATCGTGGTTATGAAATATGAGATTCTATAACAGGAAATTTCTTGATTCAGCAGAATAACTATCAAATGTTCAGAGAAAACTGTGTACCATGGAAGCTCAGGATACAAGTGATGTACAGTATTTTGTTTACATAATGAACTTGCTTAGGCAGAATTACAACCCACCTTCCTGAGCTCACTTGCCAGCTGTTCTTGCTGTTGTCGCAACGCATGATGCTCCACAGAAGGTGGCAGCACAGCACTATATGTACTCTCTAGCTTCTGTTCCAGATCGTGTTGATGAGACAGCAATTCCAGATAGTGCCGCTGAATCTCTTCCTTTGCTGCAGCTATTTCTGTCTTCTCTTGTGCCCTCTGCAATCAATACCGTCTCCTAAGTACCTATTCCTTGTAAAAGTTACGTTTAAACAACTAAAAATGTAATAGTCATATGTCGTGTATATCTTTAAATATAAAGAAATTACCATACACAGCAAGAGTGAGTGCAGTGAAGTTTTATTACAAAGTATATCTGAAGTTCTTGTATCCTTTACGCTTTACACTGAAACTCCTACTAAATGATAGATGAAAAGGAAGACAAAGAAGAAAGTAGTCACTGTCATGCATGAATTATATATCATTATATCTTCATTGTTTTCAAAACACAGATATTTTCACCTGTCTCAAACTGTTAAGAATATGGCAGTACTGTCCTTCATCACCTGTTCTTGACAAAATACATTCCAAGTTTCTAAATTTCCAAATATACCAAGCAGGATCTTCTACAGAGATTTACTTCGCTTGGAGTCCAAATTCCACCCACACAACACTATAATAAACATGTTACTTTCGCCCACCCCCCCACTGT